TGTTACCCGACAATTCTGTAGCTTTCCTTTGCTTGGAGGTTTTGAAAATTCTGGTAGATACACCTGCAGCTGATCTGATCTACTGCCAATAATTCATGGAATAATTTAAACCTCCAGGGTTCATCTAATCCAAACTCTTGCTCAAAGCAGGTCCAACAAGACCAGGCTGCTGAGGGTCTTGAGTTCTGAGTGTGTCTGGGGATGGAGACCTCAACTTCTCTCAGCAATGTGTGCCAGTATTTCACCATACTGATAGTGATTTTTTTTCTGTATGTATAAACAGAATTTCTCATCTTCCAACTTGTCTGTTGACCCTTATACTATCACCATGCATTTCTGAGCGAAGTCTGACTAGCTTCTCCGTACCTTCCCTTTATAGTTTATAGAGTTGTTGACAGCAATAAAATGTCCCTAGTGTTGTTTTCTTAAGGCTGAACAAACTCAGTTCTCTTAGTTGTTCTCCTATGTCCTGCAGCAGCCCCTTAACTATCTTGATAGCCTTCCACTGAACATGCTCTAGGATGTAAGTGTCCATCCTGTGCTGGGGAGTCCCAAATGGGGCACAGTACTCTAATTGCAGTCTCATAGGCACAGAATAGAGGGGAAGAATCTCCTCCCTCTCCCTGATGGCTACAGGTTTGATATTACGGCCCAGAATATAGTTGGCCTTGGTTGCCACAAGGGTGTATTGCTGACTTGTGCACAACTTGCGATGGATTGTGGTAGTCCCAAATTTCTGAGAGAAGTAGCTTGAATAAGCTTTTTCTAAAACTTGGTAATCTTTATTCTCGGCTGTAGAGAGGTGTTGTCTAAGACTAAATTTCATAGACACTCTTACTGTTACACCTTCTTCAGGTGACAGTTGTCAGGCCTTCAGGGATGAATGCTGTACCCTGAGCTTTTATGTAGCACAAGTATTATTCTGTTTCTGTTGTGTGTGTTTGGGGGTTTTTAGCAAGTGCCACTACTTTGCAATTCCTTACACTTGTGAATGCCAGAGAACCTGAAAGCTGTGGAAGAACTTACTTCCTTCTGGAACAAGCCTGTCCAATACTGCATTTTTCATATCTGATGCGGAAAACTGTCTCACTCGATGTGAGTAGGTTGAAGTTCATCGAGGCTTTTATAGATCAGCTAATTAAAAGTTATACTGCTCTCTAAAGAAACAGCATCTCTGTGGCTTGATGATAGTACATCCATGTATGCAATAATTTTCTCTTATTTTGTTAAGCTGTTTCTGTATCACAAAGTTAACAGCAGAAAAAGGTGTATTAGGTAATTTATTTCATTATCTGCCAAATGAGCAATGTTCACTGCTGTGCTGTTCTGAGCTTCATCCAGGTTAGTTTTGAATGAATAGCAGACCATGTTTAGGAGATCATGCTCTGGAACTGTAAAGCCCGTTAAGTCTTTATCCCTTGCTGATTTTTGCTAGGAATTAGATGTCTGTCCTTTTATAAAAAATCTGGCATGAAGAAAACGATTCTCCTATACTAACTTTGTGTTCTGATACATTGCAGTTTATTTAACCTAGCTCATCTACTCAAGGAGAAATGCAAAAGTGGAAAAAAACCAAAGCTATCATGATTTTAACTATTTGAACTGGGAGACCTTTTTGTGTACCAGTCCTTGACTTGAGAGACTTTAGCTGCACTATGATCATGTGAGATACCTGTGTAAGGAAATAGGGGGTATCACCTTACTCCACAAATGAACTGTCTGTAGCACAGAAGGGAAAATGATCTTCAAGAAGTTACAGTTTGACTGCCTGTTTGGTGAAATGGGTATAGGCATAAACTTAATTACAGTCTTTTGCCAGCACAAGGTCTAGCACAGCTGGGTTGAATGCGTGTTGTTGCTGCTCATGGGACAGACTGACTCTTTTCTCTTCTTTTGACTTCTTTTCTCTTTTGTTAGCTCTTGTAAAATTATCATAGAGACCCTCCTTCAGTCTTCTGTGTGTGTTTGCTTTTGGGAATCAGAGTATGACAGGATTCATATTTGGCAGGGACGTTCTGTCAGATCAAAAGGGTGCAGCTGGGAAGATAAAGGTCAAAGGAAATGATCAAATATGTAAATTTAGATAGGGCAATTTGAGTGCGAGCTGATTGTGAGGGAGAGAAGGTCATTGGTATTGCTTGACTCTTGCCTTAGTTGGGGTCGTATCACTTTGATTCGAAAGCATTTGCAGGACAGGGAATTAAACTGTACGGAGCAGGAACAGAAATAGAAAAGAATATTTTAAAAGCAGAGGGAGCAGCAAAGGTCACCTTGACTCTACACCTAAATTTGGCAGCTGGGTGCACAACTCAGTCTGTTAGACATCTGAAGAACCCATTTGTTTGCAGAGTTACCTGAGCTTTTGATTGACAGTGTTACCTGATGCATTCCTTTGCTGTTCTGTGTTCACTTTCAAGGCACAGCATGCTATTTTTACATTTTTCAACAGAGATGCAACGTTCTGTGGTTTTATACTAAGAGGCTAATGGAAGCTTTAAATAAAAAGAATTCAAAAAAAGAAAAATCTGCTTAACAGGACCAAAAAGGCATTATATGATATTTCTAACTTGTATTCTGTTGAGAATTCACTATGAAAATTTCCAAAGTCTGAAATGTATCTGGTGGATCATAGATGGTAAAGATTTTTATCAATGTTTATACATTTCTTTGAAAGGTCAAGAAATGTCATAAGAAAAGATTGAAAACACTTCATGTAAATCATTCCTGGAACATATCCAAGTGGCTTTTATCTCCTGAACTACTTTTTTGGGGTTTTTTTTTTTTTTAAAGAGCTGTAGGCAGCAAAGCCACCTTTTCTCCACTTAAGAACGACAGGAATGTGGGGAGAGGGAGAAACCAGGGGAATGAAAAATGACTTGGTGACACACATCAGTTTAATTTTAGGTGGAATGCATACACCTTCATGCTAAAGGGCTTCTGTTTGACTAGAGACTACAAGATGACACCAACCAGTTGATTAGCTTGAGGATGTTGTCAAGGATGACCAAACCATATTTTGGTGCCTCTGAATATATTGGGTAATTGAAAACAAAGGCCTGGTGGTGTTTGAAACATTCACACTTGGAATAAAATCTGTTAGGCTGACACAATCATATGTGTGTTTGGGAGGAGGGGAAAAACAGAGAAAGCAGCAGGAGATTAATTTGTCAAGCACAGTTAGAAGATTGCCCCCCCCCTTTCTTCTCTCTGACCTCTGAAGTTGATAGAAAATGCTGTCTGTGTTTGGGCTTTTTCTTATGAACTGGTATTCATTTATTTATTTTTAATATCAGAGCCTTCTAAGTAGTAAAATGTGACAGGTGACAAGGAAGCTTCCATGTGAGGAAACTCGTTGTGCAGAGTGCCTCCATCAGTGACCTGATGCTGTCAGGACGGCTAGCCCCTGTCTGCACCAGTTAACATGCTGGCCCACGGTCATAGGCCTGATCACGTCCCCCATGTCTGGACATGGGCCAGGCTGCTCTCATAGCTCCTAATCCACTCAGCATCTAAGCTCTCTGTTTCTCTGGCTGTGTTTACTGCAGTGTGCCTGTCCCTACCCTCTATCACGGTCTCATTTGCTAGGTGCTAGGGTTGCCTTTTCCTCTTTTGGCTCATGAAGTCTGAGCCATTCAAACTCACGCTTCCCCTTGACTCCAGCTGCGGAGGCCACGTAGGTGACAGTTTAGGGCATGTGCTAGTCGTGAGTGAACAGAAGCAGATTTTCCTTAAGGGTTTCGGTATCTTGGCTAGTACCAGAAGTACATGTACAGGTTTAGCCAAAATTAATAAATCCTATGTACATTTTTTCATTGAAAGATTCCTTACCTGGATGGCCCTTCTAGTATTTAACTGTGTTTATGCATTTATTTATTTTCTTGATTCTCCCAGGCATATTGTCTGTCTTAGATTGCCTGTTTCTCGTGTGTCTGCTCAGCATCCAGCCAGCAGAGGCAACACATAGTTGGGCAGTTCTGCCATGATACCAGTGTCCTTTCAGGAGCACTCTGAATGAGAATGATTAAAAAAACTCATTGTCTTTGAAACTAAATTCAGAAGGTCTTCAACTTCTCTTTTCACAGCAGAAAGTCTGAATCAAAAGGGCTGTGTAGGTATTTGGGGTGTGGTATGCAAATTACCTTAGAGCCTTGATTTTGATATTTCAGAGCTTTTATTCTGAAGAAAAAATGATCGCTTACCTTGCAGCCAAACCAGAGCATTCAGCAACACCTGAGAAATCTCAAATGTGGAAGGTGAACTACAAATTGGATTCTAGACTATGGTTTTGTTTGCTAGACCTAGGACACTGAGAAGAAGGCAAGGAGGGAAGGATATGGGCTTATGCAAAATGGTTGTTAAGGTTGTTGGGTCTTGCAATGTGTAAGGGAATATCTATGCTTGTTACAAAATCAGACTTTAGAAAAATGTGGGCCCCAGAATACTACTCTCGTCTTGAAAGCATATGTGGATATAACAAACAGGTTCTTCTCATAGTTGTCTGGAATTTTTCATAAAAGAGAAAGAGAGCGGAAGAGGAGCAGATGAGGTTTCCTCCTCCACCCCTATCCCAATACTTCTGACTGTCTGTACTGGTACTTCTCCTGATAAAAAGCAATTTAGAGTTTGTAAGAGGTTTTCAGTGCCCACCTTTGGAGAGCTGGTGTGTAGTTGCAACTTCATTTAATAAATAAAAACAAAGCTTCACTAACTGGTGTGTGATCACCCAGTGTTCATAGAAAGTGATAAAACTCTCATATTTACAAATATGTAAATGTTTTCTGCTCTCTAGTTTGAAAAATAATTTTCAAGAGATTGCTTCTATCTATAAACCCCAGAAGAATATTGTAGCAGTCAGCTGTTTGCCTCCCTTACCATTTGCAGTCATATGGTATACAAATTATAACTTCGTAATTGTGATTCCTGCTTTGAGTACTCTGAAAAACTGTAGCCGAATTAAATAATTGTGGCGGTTATTTATTTTTTTAAATACATATTTGCAGCTGAGAGTTACAAGGAAACCCAGATGGTAAAGATAAAGGAAGAACCAATGGAAGTTGACATTCATGATTCACAGGCTTCAGTGTCACCCAGCCAACCCAGCCAAAACTTTGGCTACAGCACTTTATTAGGGCGAGACATTAGTGAACACATACAGAAGGCACCAGAAGGTCGTGTGCTCCCAGAAAGAAATCTATTCAGCCAAGATATATCAGTGAAGATGGCATCCGAGCTGCTCTTCCAGTTATCAGGTAAAAGCAGTGGAAATAGTCAATAGTTGAATTTAAAGAACACAAAGAGATTGGGTATAACCATGAAAGTGCTATGAAAGTGTGAGATTTCTAAGGCTGAAAAATAATAAGAGTTAGAGTCCTTCTGCCCTCACTTTGGAACGCAAAAGCCTTGCCAAATGTCCCCCATAGTTAGCATATGCTTTAGAGCACTGTGACAGTCAGGTCAGGTTCACAATATTTGAACTGAATGGAACAAGCCAGAGTTCAACTCCTGTATTTTTGAAAGCTAATTAAATAATTTGTGACAACTGGTTGATCCAGGCCTTGGAGTATAGGGGAACCTATAGATGACAGTTACTGGCATAAGTGGCCAGGGGCTGTAGCATACAGTGCTCCTGGGGCTGCACTGTCCATTTCTTTTGACAAAGAAGGTGAAACTCAGCTATTACGTAAAGGCAATATCAGAACTGTGTTTAATGAATGCTTGTATTACATGCTTTGTATGGAGCACTAACACTGAAATACGAAGCTGAAAAAATTTGTTGGGTGTTCGTATTCCCATTCCCTAATCCTGCTGCAACCATTTACCCTAAATTACTCTAGATTATGCTGTTATCAGAAAGCATTAAAATAATTCTGCTGAATAAAACCTCATAGGGAAAATATGATATATGCTAATCACAAAAACCCATGTATGTTCCTCTGCAGAAAAGGTGAGCAAAGAGCACAACCACAATAAAGATAACACCATCAGAACTACAGCCAGGTAAGTACCGTGCATTGTTATCTGCAAAGCTGTACTGTAAATAGCATTGCTTCATTTTCCCTTGTAAACTCATAAGTGTCTGTCTCCTGCAAATGTGACGTGATATATTACAAGTGTAAAGTATTTTCATAAGTAATGTAACCTGTACGTGAAAAATTACACCTCTAGATCTGATTGAGTTAATGAGATAACAGGCCTTTGGGCCAAAATGACTGTTCTCCTCTGATCAAGTATTCACACATCATTTTAAGGATTTTTTTTTCTATTTTTTTCTACAAAACCTGAAACTTTAAGGAAACTGCATAGGATATGCAGTGCTTGAGGGAAGAACAGGCTGACAACTGGATTTTAAGACATGGACCAATGTAACGAGGTGATTTTGATTCAGTCTTCTGTCAATCTTGGATTTCTTTAATAAAATTTCAGTTTAGTATTTCCATCATCTGAATGCCTTCTAGAGATGAATTTTTGAAAGTCAGACTGTAAGACAATGCTAATGAAACATTTGTTAGATTACAGTCACATTAATACAATAAATGAAATTATACAGGAATTAGAAACAGGATCCAGTTCTAGCATGTGCTGTTAAAGAAATATGTGCTTTACAGCATCGTGGCTGGGAACAAGCCCACGAGTTGTTTACATATACATGAGCAGCAAAGTGAGGTGTTCTATGGGAAAATTCAAAGCTCTTGTGTAATAAGCGGTAAGTGGTGTGGAGGAGGCAGGAACTGGCAAGGGTACATTTGTTTCCTCCCTGAAAGTTCCCTGATTAGTGTGTATGGATTGGAGACTGCACACACTGAAGTGACGAAGAGTTCCTTCAAAGATAGAGTAAGACCTTCTGTGCCTCTGCAGCCCCTTCCACAGAAGTTCCCAGTGTGTTCAGTGCCTGCTAACTAAGACAACTTTGTCCAGACAGAAACTGAAAAGCATTTCAGTTGCAGAAGAAAAAAATCTCTGTATTGTTCTTAAATTCCTAGGCCCACCCCATTCATTCATGGTAACTGTAATAAATAATTTGTTTTTAATAAACTGACCCCCTCAGTTAATGTACATAAGGGACTTTTTGATGTTACAAGTTGAAAGATAATTAAACTGAGCTTTTAACTTCTGGCTACTGTGAATGCTTCCCATATTTGCTTGTTTGGGAATCTCTGAGGTATGCAGCCTGCGTAACCTTCCTGTGACTACTTAAAAAGCATAAGCCTGAGAGATACATACGGAGATAAATGCACGTATTGTCCAACTACTCATTAACCACCCAGTGTGTGTTGCAGGGAGCGGGTGACAAATAGCTGAAAATAGATTTCCTTGTCTCATGATGTTACCGGCAGGACTGATATGAGAATCCAGAGCTACTTTTGGATCTATCAAAGATAATTCAAACTCGAAAGGTTGAGGACAGTTCAAAGACAACTTCCCCTTCTTCTGGCTGCCAGCTTTTAAGAGGGAAGCACAGTTGGCTGTTGTCAAACTTGCACTGGGTTTTACTGAGAAGTCCTGATAATGGCTGCTACTCATCAGGGCATGAAATGCTGAGTGCCTGATTGAATTCTTCCGGGTGCTTTTCTTGTCTTACCTATCTGTCAACAGAAGAAGAATGTCTTCTGTTGAATGAGAAGAGCTTCTTAAGGGGAAGTGAGCCAGTCTACTAAATCCTGCAAGTTCAAACAGATTGACTTGAAAGACCTTGCCAAAGAACCCCCACACAAAACCAAACAAACAGCTGGAAGTCTTTACTGGTAAGACGCCTTCTCAAAACCAGAATGTGATGGAGCAGCCAGTGGAGGATAGAGGCACTCAGACTGCATTAAGAAGATGTGTGGTGTTGCAGTTTGGCTCACCAGCCTACATCTGGATTAATGACAGAAAAGCATTTGAATCAAAGTTGTTATGGGAAGTTTGCTGACAGCTGCAGAGAGCCAAGGTGAGGTCAGTGTTGTCCACCTGTGAGTAGCTGGGGAGCAGAGAGATTATGCTGTGTCATGGGTGAGAGTCTTAAATCAGTGAGTGGGGGTACACAAGCACTTTTTGCTGTCTTATTCAATATTAACATTTCTAACTGTCACCTGTCTGTTGCTGTTCCTCCTGTGAGTATTCCTGGACCTTGTGAGCATATACTTCCATATGACTTTGCTTAAGGAGCCAAAACTGGCAAGGATTCCTCACAGTTCAGTGGCTGAGTGAGATGGTAGAGCCTGCCATCTGTGATATGAAGACAGAAAGTGGAGAAGCAAATGATCTGGAAGTGAGTACGCCAGTGTAAGATGCCAAGATAAGTTTCTTTCATCTAGAGAATTGTCTAGCCATAAAACTGGAAAAGTGCAGCCAGAAAAAAAAAATCCTGAAGCTCAGTCTTCATCAGAAGGGACTTTGTGCAGTGATTGAGAACAATTTATGTAGTTTCTTACTATGAAGCAGGAGCTCCTCCCTCCATACTTTGCACTGAGAATTGGAGGACATATCTGCTGAAATAAAAATAATAATAGGGCCAACACTGAAGAGGACTCAGCTGCCATTCTAGAAGGCAGAAAACAGGTATCCAAGGATGGTTCTGTAATTCACTGGACACCGATGGTGGAGAGGGAAATCCATGGGACACAACACGATGCAGTCTTCAACAACAACCTGCTCATGATATATGGCCTAGCCTGAAACAGATAAGCTCTGCATCATCCGTTTTGCTTAGAACCAGCGATAAGCAGTGTCCAGTGACTGAATCGAAGGTACAAGCAGGCAGGCAAACATGGAAACCTGAGCAGATTACAAGATTTTGAAGAGTTACAACAGTAATAAAACTTTTTTTATTGGTGTTTTTCTTTCAAATCATTATTGAACCAGTGAGAGGAATGTTGCAATAAATGATGCCATGTTTTTATACAGCGTCAGTCTCTTTTATATTATGTCACTCCCGAGTGGGAGTGTGAGTCTTGGGAAAAGTTAGATTTTGCACAGATGGGCTCGAGCTGTTTTGCTTTATCCTAATCACTTGTTTTCTTGAGTATTATGCATTGTTCAGATATCTGTATACGCTCAACTGTTCAGGTTCGGGGCAGCTTCATGCCTTACCCTTCAGCACAACCTAATGTTGACTGCATTTATGGTTATGTTTGAATTTTGGTAGAAATATCAAAATATCCCATTAACTGTCACATATGGAACAGCACAAAATGAATAATGGCCAAGAAACTTAATGAGAAAGTAAAAAAATGTGGTTGCCAAAAGTGTTACGTGATCTAGTTAACTAATTATCAGCAAGTTTCCCAAAGGCAAAAGAGGTCTGACTAAGAACACAAGTGACTCAGTGGAGAAATACCTTGTTCACTCTCTGCAGAAAATCTGTATGAGGGAAAACATATGCAAGTGCCATGGTTTAGGCTGACACCTTGAGTATCTGGACTGGTAGGGCCAACTTTGTTGGTGCTGCTGGCATATACTTTCTGGATCTGAACTACCTGCTGTGCCACACTTCATAAGACCTCATACTGTGTTCTTTATACTGAAAAGTTTTTTGGATTTTATTACTGAATAAAAACAGGCTGCAGAAATGAGCTGGGCTTCTGTCCTGCACCCTTAAAACATCTACTATACACCAGCTTGTTAAGGATCTTGATATAAGAGAGATCAGATTTAATGTAATTCTCAGTTTGATTAGAAGAAATTGATAGTTTGCATGCCTTAGAAAACAGTTTTCCAAGAAAGACTCTCCTTTTCCATTTTGAATTTTTTGATGTACCTCTTACTGGTATCTGTCTGTACTGTAAACAAGGAATTCTTGTTTCTGTTATGATCTTTAATTGAACAGAAAACAAAATACTTTGACAGAAATGCCAATTCACTATTGAAATTGGCTTTTTTAGCCAATTATTTTAATTATTTTAATTTAATTTTAATGCTAATTAAAAACAAAGCATGCTTTGTTTTTTGGAGTCAAGTAGCTGATGATATTTGCATTTTATACTCTTTGGAAAGTAAACATTCAGTTAGCTTATATGAATTGTTTCCTGCTTTAAAAATCAAACTCATGAGTTAATTTTGTTCATGGAATGCTGTGTCAAAAGAGAATTGTTCAGCATCTTAACCTAAAATTTTAAAAGTTTTGTTTTAAAAGTAATTACTGTATACTTCAGATTATTAAATAATAATATTTTCCATCTTTCCTGATTGCACTCTCCAGATGTGATAGTAGAATACAAATTTTTGAAGCATCAATGGTATGATCGAGATTATATTGTGATATAGCAAATCTCAGATGTTGAAATGTAGTTAAAAGCCTTTTAGGAGGACTTCAGTTTTCGCTCTGAGATGCCATTTTACCAGAGCGTGCCTCTCCTCCTCACCTTGCCTCATGGTCTGCGTATCTTTCAGCATAAGTTCTGTAAATGAAACAGAGCCTTTAACAAGATCGTAGTGGTTATAATATTAAGATGTTAGGGTCGAAAATTGTATTTACTTCTTCCATTAACTGTTGTTTTGTTTACAAAAAGACATCTTATTTTGTTCCTGTAGCCCATTCTTTTCTGAAGACACGTTTAGACAATCACCGTTCACTTCCAACTCAAAAGATCTCCTGCCTAATGAAACTACTCTTCATGGAAGGACATCTGCACCAGGTCAGATACCTTTTTCTTTCATTACTTCCAGTTCCTATATCTTTTAAAATTTTTCTTACTGTAAACTCCACCACTTGACCAGTGCTCTTAAAATGTAGTTTGCTTTGTCAAAAGGCAACTATGTCTCTATCACAGTAAGTGCTTATTATTAAGAAGAAAAAAAAGTTAAATATTGCTGAAGCATTTGTATTAATAGTGTTTAAACTATTATTTCTGTAAATTGTGCAAGAGTCTGTAACAGATTAAACGTAGCGGTATTAACAAAGGTGGGTTTTTGTGTGTGTGTGTGTCTCCCATATGTAAAGGAACTTTACTGATGTCAGATTATCATCTGCTGTTCTACCTACCTACTGGTCATTTCCATCTCCAGCTCTCAGAGTACAGACGAAATGTTTGCAGTACATGTATCAGAGTGGCTGAGCTTGGCAATACAATTTTCCTGCCTTTAACAGTAATTTAGAAACTTTTTTGGAAGAATGTGGAGTTCTTAAAACATACTGAAAGGCCTCAGTATCTGTGGGTACGTTCCCATTGATCTTCTGAACTAGTTGAAATGTGTGTTATGTGCAGATGTAGCTTGGGTTATATTCTGCATTAAAAATCAAAATATAGGTATGTAACAATACTATTCAAAGTGGCAGTGGACATGCAAAAAGTTGATACATGCCTTTACTGTCCTGTTGCAAAATAACTCGTTTGCTAGTTCACTGCTATCTGTTCTTTAATTAATAGCTCTTGGGCTCTAAAGGTCAGTAATTACACAGCCAGCTGTAGGGTAGGTTATTCACCTTTTCTTAGCAATCAATAATGTTTTAGGCATGTTACTGCTAATTTTCAGCTATGGACTGTCATTTCATTCGCAGCTTAACAGACCCTTCATTTTTTTTAATGCCTGAATAGTCATTTGACAGCTTGTGAAGTGGCAGATGAGGTTAAGAGCTAGGTGTTGTCTAAGGGTAAATATGCATAGCAGGGAGAAGAGGAAAATTTGTAGCATAAGGACAACGATCTTCAGGCTAGCCTCAGCCACACTTTTGCAAGGCAGTAGTGGATTTTGTAACTCAGGGCAAGGAGAACCAGATCAGGTGTTGTGCTTTTAAGTACTAAAATGTAAACCAGGTTAGAGCTTCATTCCTGGCTTTTGACCTAGAGATAACATGGAATATTCGTATACCCAGATGAAAGAAGAGAACTCTAAGACTCCTCAGGTGGTGGTCAGTACCTCAGAGGACATGGCCTCTAGCAGCAATACTCTTACATCATACCAAGATGAATGTATAAGAATTTAAATTCTTTGTAAGACTTAATTTTAAGTGAGGCCACTAAAACTGTGGATGGGTTTTGATTTTGGTGACATCTTTAATCTGCTTAAAAGATGTAAAGTATCTAGTTGGTTACGACAACCTGGAGTGTTAGAATGGCTCCTGAGGAACTGGGTTTTCTATGTTTATGCTGCCCCATATTCTGCCTTATGGAATAGAAGTATTACCCTGGTAAGTCTGTGTATTACAATACAGATTGCTCTGTGATTGTAAGACTCTGATATGTAATAGCATTATATATCCTGAAAATCAAAAATGCCAATTTCTGCTTCATTTTTATTTTTGGAACAACCCTATCATTCCAAATATGTTGATTTTTCTCAGCTTGATAATAAATTCTTGGACCTGAAGTGCAACTTCACAGTAGCACCAGGAATGTGACTTACGTTTTTAATCAATTACAAATGTGATATTCATGCAAAAGAACAGCAGAATACCCACAGGTAGATTTCCTACTAGTTTCAGCCTTGCAAGAAGAAATAGTCTATGCAGTACTATGGATAGCTCAGAAGAAAATTTATCCCTGCAGATAGTAGCGTAAAGGAACAGTAACAAACCATTGTAAAGGCCAACAGGGTGTAACAGAAAATGCTGTGGAAATGTGTATGTGGTGTCCTATGGATAAATGGTATATATGCCTTCACTTGAGATTTGTTTTGGGTTACTTCATTCCTGAAACAAGACAGTAAGAAACAGAACAGCATAAGAAAATGACAGAGAATTCCCAGTCCAGTCTCATCTTCAAGTCATCAACTAAAATCCAAGTAGATTGACTGCTAATGGCCAAGAGTGTTCATTAAGCAGTGCCCATATCCAAAAATGCAACTACGTGCCACTGTCACCACAGGTAGCACAGTCTGATGAATAAGTGTGGAGTCTGAGCTGCTGCTCTGTGCTGGCTCTCTGTTACCAGGCTTGACTCAGGCAGGCAGAGTGGCATGAGGAAGCCTATGCTGCCTGTTGGTCTGGGTGGCCATGGTGGAACCCCATGTACATAGTACTTCTTTCTAAGAGAGCACCAATATGGGCTGTTGTATCCCCCGACTCCTGCCAACATTCTGTCTGCAGACTTCTTGGCACCTTAGCTGCAGAGGAATTGGGAAAAGTGACAGGAACATAGGACAGTAAGATATCTCATGTGTCAAATTCAATTCTTTTCTATAGTGGGTAACAACATTATATAATTTCATTGATTATCAAGATCCATCTTAAACCTGTCATCCTTATTATTTGTATGAGGACATGGTTTCAGAAGCTCACCCCTTTGAAGGGCCAGGACCACTCTCTTTTCAGCCTGAATTTATTCACAGCAAGTTTTACTTTTCTTGTTTCTCCAATGCTGTCATTCAACTGGTAATTCTTCTCCCTCATGATGTTCACCGTCTGATGTGCCCTATTACATTCCCCTAATCCTGTCTTCATTTTGGAAAAGTAAGCCAGCCAACATCTTTTAGTCTCTTTGAGTATGATAGAGTTTCCATTTCCTGACCAACATCACAGACTTTTTCTGCCTCTGTTCAGGGAAATTAATTTCTGCAAATATGAGACAACTGTATGTGCTGTTTTACAGGAAGTCTTACCGATGACTTTTTCAGCAGCATGCAATCTTCTATATGTATATTGGAAATGCCTCTCCTGATTAATCACAGTCTTTGTAACTACAGCATACTGGTGACTCTCAGTTCATTTGCTAATCAAATAGTAACGTGTTTTTCTTTTCCTTTACAATTTCAACGGATGATTTCAGCATGCAACAGAAATTCTTGTTCCTACTTTCTAGGCATGTGACCTTGTAATTTGAGTTGTTTCACTTGTTACTCTAGCTTTCAAGGTTATTTCTTTAACACTCTGAAGTTTCTGCATATTGATGATACTGCTTTCATTAATGTAATGCTGTGGTTTTTTGTGTTGAAGCTATTAAAGAGGATGTGTAAGTACAGTTGGTCCAAAGTTCAATCCTTGAGACTTCAGCTTAGTGGCCTCCTCAGTGCAAACCACTTCTCTTTGTAGCCAGTTTATAAGAAAATTTCAAGATCAGGTGTTTAAGAGAAGAGCACTCTTTCATAGAATCATAGAATGGTTTGAGTTGGAAGGGACCTTTAGAGGTCATCTAGCCCAACCACCCTGCAGTGAGCAGGGATATCTTCAACTAGACCAAGTTGCTCAGAGCCGCATCCAACCTGGCCTTGAATGTTTCCAGGGATGGGGCACCTACCACCTCTCCGGGAAGCCGGTGCCAGTGTTTCACCACCCTCACTGTAAAAAATTTCTTCTTTATATCTAGTCTAAATCTACCCTCCCTTAGTTTAAAGCCATTACCCCTTGTCCTGTTGCAACAGGCCTTGCTAAAAAGTTTGTCCCCATCTTTCCTATAGGCCCCCTGTAAGTATACTGGAAGGCTGCTATAAGGTCTCCCCACAGTCTTCTCCAGGCTGAAACAGCTCTAAGTCTCTCAGCCTCTCCTCACAGGAGAGGTGCTCCAGCCCTCAGATCGTTTTTGTGGCCCTTCTCTGGACCTGCTCCAACAGGTCCATGTCTTTCCTGTGCTGAGGGCTCCAGAGCTAGAAAAATAAAATCTGTGGATTAGATTAGAATCTAACCTAATCATATTCTATGAATTCTTAATATTCCTAGAAGGGAAGAAACTAGTTTCCTATAGTACATAGTTCAACAGTATTGGATAGATTTTGGGAATTACTTCCTTTCCTTTTTAAGGTATTTTATATGTTAATAAACATACAAAGTTAGTTGTAGTTACATTACACTTTTCTGTATTACTATTACTGTCCAAATAAGTTCATTTTTACTCAAAAATGGAACCTATCTTCATGAAAACCAGATGAGCGATATTAACTATTCCTTTTCTGGTTGGTTCATTAATATTGGTGAAGATTCCAGCCATGGTTTTTTGGGAGTATTTTTTTCTCCATGTTTATCTGTGTGTAGTATAATAGTATTTCATTATTTTCTCTCTTATACACCAAGGACCTGGTATTGTCCTTCATTTACATTGACAGTGCCAAATATTCAAACAATCTCATCGGTGTAGGATTAAATTAAAAAAAAAGAAAGAAAAAAATCTGTCTTTTTATGAAAATTTACTACTTCTTGCAAAACTGTAATTTTGATTGTGGTAAGTGAATTTCACATGGCTAAAATAGACTTTTGGAGCTGGAGGGTGTAGGTTTTGGGGAGTTCTAGTCCATGAATAGCCGTGGCTTTTTAAATCTTGTCCATTGGTGCCAGAGCTAAATTTACTGGTGTTATTTATTTCAACAGAATAAGGCCAATGAAGCTTCTGTCCTCAAGTACCTTTTTTGAAAATGCATCAGAGCTTCTTCTGCCACTGTCTCTCCACACTCGTTACTGACCTGTAAGATGACAGATAGGCCATGCTTCCTCTTCAGAAATGTTGAAAAGCCAATATTGAATCAGTAACATGATACTTAGTTGAGTACAAAATTGGAAGCATAGTGCAGAAATTTTGGATTTTGGTATTGTCAGTTGTATTTTTATTGATGATGCAATTAGTGGCATTATCCCATATTTCTGTTTATTGAGCTACGGTAATATGTGTAACGAAGAGTCACATATGTTTGGAACTACAGAACAATTCAGGAGATGTACATGTTTCTCCTGTTACTGTTCATACTCACACTCTACTTCTTTTCTCTAAAGCAGTAATTCCACTGTAACTTGAATATACTT